TAATAATTTCATTAAAGGCGGCAATCTCACATATCAAACATTATTTATCTTGATTAAAACTGCCAAAATTTCTTCACATGTACAGAAATTACTTCCAAACAGACATATTTTCCCAGTGATAATGGCTGACCATCCTGTAGTACCCCAGACCTTCCTTCTTGCCACCCTTGAAAATGGCTCCAGCATTAAGCTTTCTCCAGTTATTGGGAACCTCCCCCAATGCAGAGTCATTTAAATATGACAGATAGCAGCTGGGCAATGGCATCACTCAGCTTGCTCAGTACTTTCAGGAGGCCTCCTTCCTGCACCCATGAACTTGCATGGATCTAGATCTCTCAGAAGATCCCCAACTCAATTCTCTTCCACTCACCCCTTCTCTCCCTGAACCACCTTCCTGAGAACAAAAGCCTGTAAGTTCTTATTCAAGAAGATGAAGGTGAGAAAGTAATGGAGCACCTCAGCCTTCTGAGAGTCTGCTGTGACTAAATCATCTGCACACTTAGCAATGGGCCTATGTCAAGGGTTAGGGCTGGGCTGGCCACAAGATGAGTGACAAACATTCTCTGTTAAACTGTCTCCCTTCCCAAGGAGGAGAAAAAGGGAATAAGGGAGCAAGACTTATGGATAGGAAAACTAAACCAGCTTTAATGAAAGTAGTAGTGATAAAATGAAACATAAAAAATACATACAAACCTAGTATCAAACACAATCTCCCTGAAGGCAACTACATCACTGTCACCACTGATGCTGTGGGCAGGCACTGGGGAAGACCCAGACTGGACTCAGTGGCAGATGGGAAACGGATTCAGGAGATGGATTTAGGAACACATGGACTGGATTAAGGCAGAATGGACAAAGTCCCCCTCAGATGCCAGACACTGAAGAAGAGATCTTGATCCTCGTTATCCCTCAGCTTTACACTGAATATGATGGATTGGTATGGACTATCTCATTGGTCAGTTTAGGGTCACCAGCCCTGGCCACTCCTCCCCACAGGTGCAGCCTTTTACTTTCTGCACCCCCAAGGTGGTACCCAAGAGCTAGCAGAGACTTCAGTCTGCATGGGAGTGAGTATAACGAACAGCCTTTTTGCACACACTGAGCCCTGCTAGTAACTATAAACATGGAGTGTTACCACTGCTAGAAGCAGGCACTGCCTGTGAAAATGTGCCACTAACCTCAGAAAGTGCAGTTACTAAGGAGAAACTTAACTGAAAAGTACAATCATCGAAGAGAATTAGTTCCCTTCTAACTGAAACCAGGACAGCCTACATTTTGAAAACAAAGGGTCACCAAAATGACATACGATACTGGTTATAGTATGTCCAACATGAATACAAATCACATATTTGCTTAGATAGCTATTTTACTTAGATACTGCTCACCTGACTGTAACTAACTATTGAAAAACAGGTATTCCTTGTTCAATCTTTGAATTCATGCTCCTAATCCACTGCTATACAGCAATTTAACACCGTTTATGCTTAATATAAATGCAGTTATTCTAGAAACATACCTTGCTTTCAAAACTGCTTAATGACTTGGCTAAACAGAGGTTTAATTTTATTTTTTTTAAAGTAAATACACATTCAAAGGCCAAACAAATGCATCTGTATACAGTGCAGAGAAAAGTTAAAGTGAAGAAACCAAAGGCTAAGGCTGCCCAAAAGCAGACCAGTATGTGGGGTAAATAGCACCAAGCACAAGGCTTTATTCATTTAAGTTCATAACCGCTTATGCTGTTACCCATAAAAGGTTTATAATACTTTATTTCTACTCAAGACAGACATATGTGCAGGGAAAATAAACAAACCCATAGACAGCCAAATTCACACCACAGGATCAAGAATAATTCTTGCACTTCACTTCATAAAGAGAATTCCTAATATACTTTAATTTCCTTTGGAATTTTAATTAGACTGAAAAAAGAATGCAGGAATGGAGTTCAAGGACTATTTTTCATAGCAACAATTATTCAATATGTAGTCTCCCCTCTTACATCTCCTCAAGTAAGCCATTTTTTATAGCTCATCCATTTTTAATTTGATAAAGCCTCTGTGTTCTGCTCCCCCTTTTCATTTGACTGCTGAGACTTTTTACAAATGTTCATTTCCTAGCAGCTCCAGCACAATGAACAGAAAGGCAAACCACCGTTGATCTGAACAAAGACACTCCCACACAGTGGAGTATCTATGTCTGGGAGCCTCGCTATAGAAAAACACATGCCCACAGTTTTTCACTTCAGCCGCCGTGCAATGCACTGGCAGGCATGAATAGCTTTTCTTTTACCTTGTTTATCCAAGAACTATGATCCACTACAGCCTCTTTTTAAGTATTTGATATCCTACATTGAGGAGATTAAATAAACCAAAAGCCAAATGAAAAACTTTGACTGTGATGTTGATTTTTTGTAAACTTATGAAACCATAATCTGAAGGTCTTGTCCTTAGAGACAAAAAGGCCTTTGCTCTAGGATTTTATATTTACTGTACTAACAAAATCAATCCTAACTCTGACAGAAACTGATTTCTTGATAGGTTCTCTCTCGCCTTGAGTGCATTTGAAAGCAAAACACCCATCTCTGTCATATCCATCCAGCTCCTCATGTAATTAATCATATACACAGTCTAAACCAACTTCCTTTCAAAGCGCATTATCATAAATTAGTCATTTCTGGGAGAAAAACATCAAGAGAAACAAGACTGCATTTTACATCTTGTTTAAGAAGTGTCTTTTATACTGGGAAGATGGAAGATGGGCTATAATAATAGAGCTTTTTAGTAATTATGCACAGGGGTGCCCACAGAGAGCACATGGGTGTGCTCTCATTTTTCATGCTTCTAGGGCAAGAGGTCACGACCCTTCAGACTTTAACTGCATCCCTTCTGATTTTTCATCTTGGTTCCCAGAAGAGAAATTTAACCCATCTGGGTTTCAATTTTACAAGGTTATGAGCTATGAAAGAAAATCTAGCTTTAAAAAAAAAAAAAAAATGGAGATACATAATATTCTCCCAGTGTATTTCAGAGTAGATCATACAGATGTTTCTGTTAGGTGAGGATAAACCTACGAGAGAAAAAAAGTCCTCTCCACAATGCTACACATTCACATGTCTACTACTGGATATTTCTTTTTGGTTGTACTAAGAGTTCTCTAGGCTCTCTCTCAAAATAATGTACAGTGGTCAACCTTAAACCCCTGCCAACACAATGCTGGCAAAATCCTATCTTTGATGTCTTCCCTGGGATATTTAGCCTTATGCTGCAATAAGGCAATAATTTTATCAGAAGTGACAGTTACACCACATACTATAGCAGGGCAAAACCAAACATCTCACCCTTTCCTCTGCTCTATGGGAATATCAAGCAATAGAAACAAAGAGAGGCCAAACTACGTCTGAGTTGAACATTTCATTGACTGGTTCACAGCTCCAGCAAGGCATTTAACAGTGCTGGTGAAAGGTGGGGGTTTTCTTGTTTACTTAAAAACACAGCTGAAAAGTTTGCAGCTTCCCTCTCCCCAGCCATAGAGGTTCAGCAACATAAAAAAAACCCACACCATCTGAAACATTTTACATACAAAAGAGTTTGTAAGATCATCTACAGAGTTTTCAGCATCCACTGAAGCTAGAGCATCATCATCATCACAGTCTCTTGAAGGATGTATAATATGGAGGTACTTGGAAGTCAGAGAAATTCGTAGTCTCTTATACATATACATGATACAACAAAACTAGTAATCTCAAACAGCACAGCATCTTCAACTCATATCTCACTACAAAAACAATGATTCACTTGCTTCATGTACTTAAGAGATGAAATCTCATAGTAAAATGCATCAGGAATGCTTTTTTTAAAGTATATCTTTAAACTAGTTCTGGCATCTTCCAAGTTTTGAAAAACAGGAACAGAAAATGGTATGCAAAAGCAGATAAAAATTGTTTCTAATACTATTTCTCTAATTGCCTTACAATCCAAAGGCCAATCAAGTTCTTGTGGACTGTGTCCACCTGAAGTCCTGTTCCCTTCTCCAGCACAGCAAGTACACACTGAGCTGTTAACTGCAGTAATGCTAATTAAAAGACAAAAAACCATGACTACATTAAAAGTGAAACTGCCAATTAGCACATAAGGCTTTCTCATTACTGCTGCTGCATGAAACGTGAAGCCCAATGTGGACAGCAGTCATAAAAATAAGACTTTTAAAAAAAGCCAATAGTCACATTTTCAGCTTACTTCAGAAGTTCTGCTAGAATCAGTAGCCGAGAAGCTGACCTACAGGAAAGAAATTCCTACATTTTGTAAAAACCGTCGGAAAAAAAAAAAATTATAATTTTCCACTACCACATTCACAATGGTTTTCAGAGGAAAGAGTATTTGCACCGGTGTAACCACTAGAAAGTTGCTTTTAAAAAATCAAAATTAAAAAAGCCCAAAAGGCAACATTTCAGTGGACACTTTCCCCTGACTTTACACTCAACATAAGACTTCTCCATAAGGGACTAGTGGACACTGAAAGCAGTCCAGGTAATCCTAGCATCCTCTACTCTCTAGTAGGAACATTTATTCTTGTGCCCTTTAGCTTCTTTCAATGACTGTTTAATGAAACTTAATTCAGATCTCCACAACCCTTGAGCTGCTTCAATAAAGTGACGGTGCTCTTCATACAGTTTGTATTTCCTCAGGCGTCTATTTTTTTTATTTTTCTTTTTAAAGGTTTTGAATTTTAATTCAGAGGTCTCATAGCAAATAAAACTGAAATACTTCCAGTATTATCTTCCCTGTGAGAACTGGAGTATATATTTGTTTTTCACTTGCTCCCTTTTAATCAAGCATTTTGTTGACCATAATCAATTTCTTCGCTCAGGAGAAAAATGTGCAATTATCTACAATGAAGAAGGTGTGTCTAAGGAATAGGGTGGGGGGAAAAGAAATCAATGGTACCATCTGTCTGACATTCCTACAACATTATAAGAGACTCATAATTAACTGCTTGCCTACCAAAGTCTGCCAGCTTTAACTCCCCCGTGTCACTGATCAGAAGATTCTGTGGTTTCAGGTCCCTGTGCAAAATGTAACGCTGGTGGATGTAAGACAGTCCTCGCAGCAACTGAAATAAAAATAACTGAAAAAGAGGGGGACAAAAAATGACCTCTGTTAATATTTTGCATATAACCACAGGTGATTTCTTCACAATATGCAGGGTGCTTGCATATTGTGGTAACATTGTGTCAGAATTCCTCCCATACTGTTTTAATTCCCACCCAGATTTAATACAAGAAAATTTCCATCTAAAAATATGTACTTTACAAGGACTAACCCCAGCCTTCAAGCCCTACGATGTCATAGATTCAATCTGTCTGCTTTAGAAAGAACAAGAGCAATATAATCACATGCAGAAGGCTCAGTTTCTACCAAAATATAATTATATTCCATTTACCCATATGGCCTTAGAGATTAGGTGGTAGCCTGAAGACAGATGTGTATCTTCACTAATTATAGGAAACAACAGCACAGAGTAGATAAGGACAGGGAGATAAGGCTGGGGGATGGGACAATGGAGCTAAAACAAAGAAGAAATTAATAGTTTAGCAATAATGCCTGTGTACCCAAGGAAATCTGCAAGTATGATAGGTTTTCTCCTTCAAAGCTTTTTTTTTTAATGGGAGTTGCTTATTATTTCATTAGTATTTTATTTTCATATTTCATTATAATCCTTATTTAATTATTATTATGCTTATTATTTCATTAGCACATAATTATTCTCACTGAACCTAGAAGTGACTTTTGAAACTTACTTATAGTGATCTTTAAGGTAAATTTACATAGGAATCAAACTCGTCTCCCATGTTTTTTCTAACCCTTCATTGGACTCTACAAATGCTTTCCCTAAAGCTAAGCATTGCTATTGTGTATTTCTGTAACCTACAATTATGAACAAAGAGATGGACAATGGAGATCTTTTGTCCTCCCATTTTTATCTCCTCTCCTGTTATTCTCCTGCATTCTTACTGGCACCTGCTGTGAAAGGCTTTAAGTGTCACCGTCATGGATTTTGTCAATACCAAGGATGAATGATTGTTTCCCAGGAGTTTTCTCTGCAGTTCTGAAAAATCTCCCCTAATATACAGACCCTTCCTACTGCCTGCAATATTTTAAGAAATACTACAGTTTCCATTGTGGAACACAACAAGCCTTTGCAGAGCTAAACATGGGGGATTCAAGAGTGGATATGGACCTTGTGCCCCATAGCTCAGCAGCTGGTGTAACGTGCTCTCTCAGAAGAAGTGGAAACCACACCAAAAATTTGGGAAAAGTCAACTCTGGCACATGAGAATTTCTAATTAACTCGCAACACAAGCATCCTATTTAGTGACTGGTGAAGTGAAAAGACATTATAAAAAGGGTTACAAAATCTGATTATAGAAGAGAATAAAGGCTGACATGAAAGAAACAGAAATGTCATGTTACTGAAGTTGAAATGAATTTAATTGCATTTCATTTTTTCCCTGAGTGCAGGCACAATACACTGTATGTTTAGCTATTTAGCCAGGGCACAAAGAGCCATATCAATCACCTTCTTGCCGGGTTGGGTCTAACAATGTGCCGAGGAAACCTAAGAGCAAAATACAGAAACAAAAGAAAGAATAGTAGGAAAGTCAAAAGTGACATGCTCATTCCTTTTTGAACTGTGGGTAAAATGGAACTCGTGGTACATAAAATCTATTTTAATAAAGGCAGGAAGCAGAAACAGCTTTCATTACAGCCTTAAGATACATATTAATCAGATTAAATGACTTCAAAATAATACAGAAAAAGAGGGAAAATATCCTGTTTGCTGGGCTCAATCAACGGTATTTAACTCCAAACATGACTTTTAGGTATGGAAAGAAATTTTAATTATCATGTTATTTTACTTTAACATTAAAACATCATACACATGATATAATTATTATGTTATTTTACTTTAAAGTTATAAACTTATAACTCAACATATACTAATGTGGACTTTCAGTTGCCTTTAATGCAAAGGCTCAAGTGATTTGACACAACATGCTAAGAAAAAAAACACTTTCACAACTAAACAGAATAAACATCTTCTCCTGAAGACAACTTTGGAATGTAACTTTATTCCAAATTTGTATATATGCTGTACTCATCAAGTACGTCCACAAAAGTCAATTAATTCACTCACATACACTGTATCAACTGCTTCCTCCTCATAAGAAGATAATGAAAGAGAAAGGGGAAAAAAATCTCCCTGAATTCTTTACAGGGTAAACTCAACCATTGTTCAGTTACTTTCTCTGTTTCTCTTCACCTTGGTTTTATTTGATAATATTATATGTGAAAAGATTTAAGTGAAAACACAAGCTTAACACCCAGCAGCAGAACATTCTGCAAACCACAGGCCCCTTGAGATTGTCTGTGAAGAGAGAACAGTAAAAGAGGCTCTCCATTCTCAATGCTTCCTCACTCCACAAAAAGAAAAGACAAGTTGGAAAGAATAATTTCTGACTCCTCAGGAAACACTTTTGCCTTCTCACAGTCAAGTTCCCTCCCCTGTCTTTGAGGAAGGCCCTCCAAGAAACCTCCTTCCCTTCAAGACTATCTGCATTGCCTTCACAAGGGCAGAAATGAAAGCTAGATGAGGTATTGTCACCTCTTGCCTATGTACCCTGATCTGAAATTGGCACACCACCTGCCATGGTCATGCTCGACGATATTACATGCTCCTTCCTCCAATCTTGTCCAATTCTGATCATTACAAAACCTCAGCCTGGGGCTTCTGCAGGGAATTTCCAACAAGCAACTGAACTGCCATTTCCTCAAGGCCCAGGATGACAGAGAAGAGCTCTAAAAAGGAGTTAAGGGGAAATTCTATACACATTTCAACTGATTGCTTGTGAAGGTAGAAACTATATAGATTGATGCTTTTTCAGCTTTTATGTTAGAAATTTTAGTATTTGCATGATCGTACACAAGGCTGTTTAAGTGTCAAATAACCCATAATAAACAAACTAGGACATCATTCACGTAGAGTTCGTAACTTTTTAGTAAGAACAGAGGTTTTGGTGACAAACTCACAAAATGACAAAGGTCATTGTGATGAGTGTTGAAAACACAGAAAACTGGAATGGGATTTGTCTCTAGAAGTCATTTTTTCAGCAAGGCTTAACACTAGGAGGCTCAACACTTTACATTCAGGAAAAAAAAACCAAAAAACCAAAAAACTAATATTTGTGCTTCAGGCCTTGCTTATTTATTAACAGCCTTGGAAAAAATATCATTTTTTCCCCTTATAGTTACAACATATTTTAATGAAAAATTTTCATTGTCAGTGAGAAAAATGCATTCAGGTCAAAGCTAATTTGGGGGTTATGGACTGTGATATTAAAGAAATAGTAGTGGTTCTTAAAACTTAAAGCAGAAAGCCCTTAACTCCACAAAGAGGTGAGCACTCAGTTTGACGCATAAGGCCTGCATAGCCACTTGAGCTACACGCAACATTTCACCAAATGCCTGTTTAAATAAATCACATTTTCTGAGAGACTTGCCAGCTGCCTGGATAACAACTCTCCTTTCATCGTTTTTCCATGATCCTGAGTGTACAATATAGACCATTACATGCATACATGTTAGCAGCTGCAAGATGGCTCATGCGCAGCAGAATGCTTTACTGTCTTGTTGGCCTCAACGTCACATAAGAGCTTGAGCTCTTCTCATTCAAATGAGCTTATAAGCTCACCACTGACACAGGCCACCCAAAACATATCTAACAGATGGGACTGATGGGAATTAACACTTTCTGACAGGTTTAGAAAGCTCTCATGATTTTAGTGATCAAGGGGGATGCTCATGCATCACATCATCTGTGTAGAAGTACTCTGATGACTGCATTCCTAGAGATGATAGAGAGTTTCTGGCAAAGGATACTCGGGTAAGTGAAAAGCAGAAAGAAATTCACAACCTGGCCGAGAGAGATTCTCCAGAAAATGTACCATTTCCACATAGTGTCTGCTGAGGCATCAAGGACCCCAATGACAACAATGCCGCTCAAGAAAACAGACTAATGAAGCCTGTGAGGGGCTTTTTAAAAGTCAGGAACCGTCTCTTCCTGAAGGCACAAAGGGATTTCTGAATGATTTCCTGCATTTGAGCTCACTTACCACATATTGTATTGCAGGACTAAAGGACTTGGCCCTAGACACAGCAGTAGAAAGCTGTATGGAACCTTTTAGTCTATAGAAGATGCACAAAACTCTGGACTCTGCTCTCTCTCCAGCAAGAGACTGCAAACAGAGCTGAGCTAACCTGAACCAGGAGCTCACATCATGTAAGAAGAAAGCTGAAAGCAAGACTGGATTAATGTGCTGGCCCTTTAGCAAGTTCATACTGCTGCATAAGCACAGCTGCCTTTGAAAAGTAACTGACAATATTGCACAAGCTTTATTATCACTCATCACTGATAACACAAATGCTTGGTGTACGTATCAAAGCACAGGAGCTGGGTATAGAATCATAGAATCATTTAGGCTGAAAAAGACTCTAAAGATCATCAACTCTGACCATTAACCTAACTACCAAGTCCACTGCTAAACCATGTCCCTGAGCACCATATCTACATGACTTTTAAACACCTCCAGGGATGGTGATTCAACCACTTCCCTGGCCAGCCTGTTCCAGGGCTTGGTAATCCTTTCAGTGAAAAAGTTTTTCTTAATATCCAACCTAAACCTCACACAGCACAACTTGAGGCCATTTCCTCTTGTCCAATCATTTGTTACCTTGGAGAAGAGACCAACACCCACCTCTCTACAACCTCCTTTCAGGTAGTTGTAGAAAGCGGTAAGGTCACCTCTGAGCCTCCTTTTCTGCAGGCTGAACAACTCCACTTCCCTCAGCTGCTCCTCAAAAGACCTGTGCTCTAGGCCCTTCACCAGCTTCATTGCCCTTCTTTGGACATGTGCCAGCACCTCAATATCATTCTTGTATTGAGGTGCCCGAAACTGAGCACAGTACTTGAGGTGTGGCCTCACCAGTGCTGAGTACAGGGGGACAATCACTTCCCTAGTCCTGCTGGCCACTATTTCTGATAGAAGCCAGGATGCCATTGGCCTGCTT